TTATGAAAGGAGATTCTGTCTAAAAAAATGCGACAAGTAGTTCTAGGGAAACAAAAAGCCGATTGCAGTGAAGTTCTCTTAAGACAATTTCTTAAGTGAAGATATTGATCTTTTCAAGTGGAAGAACAAATAATAAATGAGTAAAATGAAAGAGAAAAACCAGTAGTTAAAATTTTACAAGAAATAATCTACCTAATTTTGATATTTGAAATATTTCCATAGTATTACAATGTAGATACTAGCTAGAATTACTCTTCTGAATAAAATTGACTTCTCACGGTCAAGTAAATATCTTAAGAATATTATTCATATGATAATTTATGAAATTGAAAATATGAAAATTTACTAGCAAGATAAGTTTTGAAAACATATTAGCAAAGGGATAGTAGGATAAAAACAAGGAAGGGAAGGGGTAACAATGATCGACAAGTAGTATACTCATTGCCTTAGTCATGTAACTGTAACCCCTCTGTACAGCATCTTTCCAATAAAATAAAAAAATCAAAATTTTAGCGAAGTATGTCCTAATTATTTTTCTTCTTTCTTTCCTTCCTTCCTTCCTTCTTCCCTCCCTGTCTCCCTCCCTCCCTCCCGTCCCTTCCTTCTTTCTTTTCTTTCTTTCTTTCTTTCTTTCTTTCTTTCTTTCTTTCTTTCTTTCTTCCTTCCTTCCTTCCTTCCTTCCTTCCTTCCTTCCTTCCTTCCTTCCTTCCTTTCTTTCTTTCTTTCTTCCTTTCTTTCTTTCTTTCTTTCTTTCTTTCTTTCTTTCTTTCTTTCTTTCCTTCTTTCTTTCTTTCTTTCCTTCTTTCTTTCTTTCCTTCTTCAAAGTGTTTAGGTCATGTGGCAAATGTAGCAAATATCCAAACTGTGTGTGGTGGTATATACTTGTAATCCTAACGTTTGAGAGGAAGAAGCAAAAGGTTTATGAATTTGATGCCAGTCTAGGCTATATGTGAAACTCTGTCCCAAATGCAAACATATAAACAAACAAAAATATGGCAATTATACTGTTTGTAGTGAAGATATTGGTTTCCACTAATGGCAGGAATGAACTAAGAAAATCTTAGAATGTGTGTGTGTGTGTGTGTGTGTGTGTGTGTGTGTGTGTGTGTGATTGTAATGGGGCTTGAACTCAGGGCCAGCATGCTATCCCTTAGCTTCTTAGCTCAAGGATAGTGCTCTACCACTTGACCTACACATCTACTTTCAGATTTTCTCTTGTTAATTTGAGATAAACTCTCATAGACTTTTCTGGAGGGCTGGTTTTGAACTATAATCCACAGATCTTAGCCTCCCGAGTATCTACTATTACAGACATGAGCCATTGGCACAGAGTAGAATGTATACTTCTGTAAAGGGCAAAACCTTACTCAAATACAATCCAAAAAATTCAGTAAATTAAGCAGATGCTGACTTAATGGTCTCTGAGGTAGAGTTAAACCAGAGACATCAGAGGGGTAGCAACCAGGTAGCCACGAGGGCCTCAGCAGTAGATGTTCATGGACTCTGACTCTCCAAGTTCTCATGAACAGAGAGACAGAGAAACTGCTGGTTCCTTTAAATTATACATGAATCAGATTATTTAAGCTTGTATGTGCACTCAGTTAAACTGGAGTGGCTGGGGATATACAGCAGTGGCAGGATTTGAAAAGAGATTATACGTTCATAGAAGGTACTTGGCAAGAGAGAAATGATTGGCACACATTGTACAACAACAAAAAATAATTAGAACTTGGGTCACACAAAGATGAAAGTTACACTTGCTCAAAATGAAACTCTGAAATTCTTATGCCAAAGTTTGAATTACTCTTTATAAAAGATTGAAGCAGGCCAATGGCATTCTCTTCAAAAGAAAGAAAAATAATTCATGGATATAACTCAGAAGTCTCCAACTAATATACTTTAATTCCAAATTAAGCTGCACATCCTTTATCAGAACCCATATATTGTTGTTACTAATAGATAAAAGTAACTAATGGTAATGATTATTCCTTTGGAGTTATTATATAAAAAATTACATATACACTAGCTAATTTTACCATCAAGTAATCCAAACTGATAAATATGTAACAAAAGGGATAAAATACCAAAATCAGGTGCATAAGATCTTTTTTTCTCATTAACATTTATATGTATAGAAAAATCTTCATAATAACAAATCCTAAAATTATGATTTTTCAATAAATGTTCTGAACAATGATATGGTTAAACCTTTTCACTGAATTAAAGAGGGAAGAAATAATCAGCATGGAGTATCAGCATCCCAACATCTAATACCTGATTCACAAAGAATCTAAGCTATCCTTTCTCATAAGGGTAGAGTATAACTTCCTTTCTTTCACCATGAACATTCTTTTTCAGTAGCAATGTAAAGATTCAACTAAAATCCCCTGTAGTCTTCCTCCATTTTTACTCCTTAAAAACTTGTCCATTGGCAGACCACAATGACTTATAAAAGTGTTGCCCTATGGCTCAAGTTCTTTACTAGTTTTTCTTGGTGTACAAGATAAAGTTGAGGTATTTCTGTAGTCACAGAATATCAGTTCCTTCTGACACAGCACATTGATTGCTCTCTACAACCATCTCCTTTCCCCGAGCCTTATGGTTAGCATGTCGGCCATCAGAAAGTAACTGTCACTTTTTTTCTCACCTTGTACTTCCAGGCTTTTCTCTGATTGGAATATTATTCTTTCTCCACTTTCCCCATCTCCTCCTTCTTTTCACCTAAACAATTTCTACTTTTCCAGGATGAATCGGCTCCCATGCACATTCCCTGAGCCTAACAAACTGAGCTTTTCTCATACTATGACTCAGAAGCTGAGTCATAATATGATATATTGGAATGGTCAGTCAGTGAGTCTATTTCTACACTAAACCATAAAGCTGTTCCTGTGTGCCTTGAATGCCTACTAAAGATATGCTACAGTAGATTTGTTCAACTGAATGGAAAACTTCCAAGTCAGTTATTCATTAATACTATTTCTGATATAATTTCTGAAAATATTCAAGACATTTACCACAGAATTTAGTAATCAACTAAACTTAGCAAAGAAACTTACTACTTTAAAGATATGCAGACACTTGAGTAATGTGGATTAAATTTTTAAATTTTTTATCTTAATAGTTTGCCTCAAGAAAATGTCTGTTTGTATATATAGTTCAAGAGCATTTTCTCAGCATGCTGGCTCCCTGTCTGGAACCATCTCAACACATTGCCTAAAGCAAGATAGGGGTTGTTCAAGCAGTAGACACATTTGATGGGTCTCGAGGCACAGCTAAAACAGGGTTGTATTTTTTACATCAGAATTTTATAATCACCACTATCCCAAATAATAAGATTTGGTTAAATTACCCAAAAATAAGTATCACATTTCTGTTATTTTCTACCCTAAAGTCCTCATTAGTTTATACTATTAAGCAGAGTGAGATTACAAAGAGCATCTTCGTAAATGCTATGTTTGCAAAAGAAAGGATTATGTAGCAAAATAAATTTATCAATAGATAACTACATACATCCACTATTCAGAGATAATGTTATATCCCACAATTCCTGCCTTTCTCAGGTGACACTGCTTGGAATTCAACATACCTAAATTGTCCAGATGTTTACTCTAAATTCATCTCAGTTTACTGCCACAAATCCATGGTATAAAGCCTTTTGAACATTTAATAGTTTAACAAGATGAATATCAGGAAGCTGAAACATGTTTTGAATGGAGAAAAACTGTTAAGAGGGATATGGATAAATGGAAAAAGGAATGGTAGGTGAATAAAATCATACTACTCAAGGTATGTATGCAAAAATGGAAATGAGAAATTATGTGACCGGTGGAGAACAAGTAAGTGGAAAATGTGACTGCACAAAATTTTAAAAATTAAAAATTACATTAAGATGGCCGGGAAGGTGGCTCAGTGGTGGAGTGCTTGCCTTGCATGCATGAGGCCCTGGGTTCAATTCCACAACACCACATAAACAGAGAAAGCCGGAAGTGGCGCTGTGGCTCAAGTGGTAGAGCACTTGCCTTGAGCTGAAGAACTGAGGGACAGCACCCAGGCCCAGAGTTCAGGCCCCATGACTGACAGGGAAAAAATGCATTAAGATAAGAATATGAGATTTTATCTTTCTTGTTATTTTTAATGTACTTATAATGTACTATGTGGTTTTTTTTGTTTCTTTTGTATGTTTTCCCCCCATGGTACAACCCCAGGTGTCACTGTATCTGATTCCAGTGTCCTGCATCTTGTATATACATTTTTCTAATTTGGGGAGGGGAAGGGAAATATCAAAATGCTGAAATAAGGATACAGGATGACCCATTGTAACAACGAGATATACAAGACACTATGTTGAAAATGAACTTTACAACTTTGCCGAGGCAGGGAGGAAGGGGGAATGAGGAGTTTGGGAGGTGGGGAGGAAAAGGATGATAGGGGAAAACAAAGGAGGAGATGACAATGCTCGGTAGGAAATGGACTCATTACCTTGCTCATGTAACTGTAAACCCTCCATACTGTATCTTTACAATAAAAATATATATGTATTTAAAGAATTTTTAAAGAATAGCTTAGCTCAATTTTTTTGGGGGGGGGTCAAGGGGCTTGAACTCTGGACCTAAGTGCTGTCCTTCAGTTCTATCAGCTCAAGACAAGTTCTCTACCACTTGAGCCACAGCACCACTTCTGCTTAGGTCAAATTTTAAACAAAGAAAACTCAGATGATGAAGTAAAACAGGATTCTACTTGCTTAGTAATGATATGATTAGGATGATTTATTATCTCTATTTTACATTCTCCAAAAGGGCACAATCTAAAACAACTTTATGAGAGCTCTCTGAAGGTCAGCTGGTTTCAATTTTTAAAGAAGGCATAACTCAAAATTCAGTACAGGTTAGCATTTTTATACAATTTACTCTCTACATCTTTGCCCTACCTCTCCACACATATGGACTCCTTCACACTCCCTACTTCATTTACAGTCTAGTCATAAAATAGAAGTTCCTTACTTAGTATTATGTGTATCAATGGTGTGGAAGAGTTCATGTAATTCTTCTCCACTGAGTACTCCATCTGCAAAATATGCTTTGAATTCTTCAAAGGATAATTTTCCATCATCTGAAATAATACAAACAGAAGATAAATAAGTCATTTCAACCTTGTATATTGTTCTCTTTTGATTTTTTTAAAACACAACCCAATTGCTCATGCTTGTTTATTTATCTACATAATACAATGAGTTCAAAAAGAAAGAAAAGTTCAAGGTGCTAATTATGATTATAATAACAACAAAATTATAGTAATAGAATGTCAATGTATTCAGTCTGGTGAAATATAAATCTATATGGTTTGAATGTTTATGTCTAGCCTACTACCTTGATAAACATCTATCATTTTCTAGAAGATTGCATGATCAATACTAAAAATGGGCATAAGAGGAGAGAGAAGTATGCTTTTATCTTTGCAGAAGCTGTTGTTAGTTATCGTAGGTATGCTGTTTAAATAATGAATAAGCCATAGAATTGGAAGTGTGACTCAAGTGGCAGAGAGCTTATCTAGCAAGCATAAAACCCTGAGTTCAAACCCCAGTACTGTCATATAGAAAGAGAGGAAGAGAGGAAAACAGAGAGGGGGGGAGGGAGGAGAGGAAGAAGAGAAGGGGTATGTTAAAGAGAGAAAAAGAGGCAGGAAAGAAAAGAGGGGTAGGGAGGGAGGAAAGAAGGAAGGAGGAAGAAAAAAAGGGAGAAAGGAAGGAAGGAAGGAAGGAAGGAAGGAAGGAAGAAAGGAAGGAAGGAAGGAAAGAAGAAAGGAAGGAAAGCAGGCAGGCAGGAGAAAGGACTTACAGTGCAAGCACTGAGTTTTAAAGAATTCCAGGCTACCTCAGTATACACAGTGCAACTTCGTCTCAAACAAAAGGAGGAAGGGGAAGAGAAAGGGGAAAAAATTAGAAAGGAAGGAAGACAGTAAGGAAGGAAAGAGAGAGATAAAGAAAGGAAAAGAAAAGAAAAGAAAAACAGAAACCAGCATACTATTTCCAGTCCCACCACTGGGTTGTTTGGTGAATGAAGTATGTACACACTGATGGTGTCTTCTTATTGGTGAACATATTATGGTTCTTGTATGAGCTGAACAAGGCTATAGCACTATACTAGAATCCTGGGATATTTTGAACAGGTCAAGCCTCTGTAACACTGCTTTATAATTTGGGTAAGTAAGTGATGTTAAGTAATAATATGCATCCTAGCAAGTAAAAGCATTGACAAGCAAATGCATTGGCTATATTTTTTAACCTTGTTGAAAAAATATAAAAGGGAAAGGAAACATTGAATTACAGCTCTAATTGGAAGGGTACAATTGTATGCTTTGAAAAACTGTTTTGCACCACATGCAGGACTCCTGAAAGGCTTCCACATTTTTAAACAATTGCAAAGAGTTCCTTTTGAATCTAGCACCATAATGTTAAGTAGAAATGTCAACAGAAAAAGAGAGGGGGAAAAGCCTCTTATATATGTTTCCCTATTAATAAAGCAATTATATTGTCATTAATATTCTTAATTTCAACTTAAAATGTCCTGCTATAGTTTCTTTTCAAATGGACCAATACTGTGAAACCTGGGTTTATACTGACTTGGCTCACAGAACAAATACTGTGAGGCCTGATTTCCAGAGTGATAAATTCTAACTTTCAGAACCAATGGACATTATTTTCAACTTTTCAAGAAGAATTACATGCTTAGTCTGAGTTTGTCATAAGCATGTTTAGTCTTTCTCTGCTTTAATTATTCTGGTTTTATTTTTCAAATTTCATTAATGTTTTGGGATTGAGGCAGCAGGGTGCTGTGATCAGGAACACAGATTTTTTTCTAGTGCTCTTTCTTGCATATTTTATTGCATTTTAAAGATGTTATTTGTTATTAGATATTGTATTCATATAGCTAAAGAGGCAAAACAATGTAAAAACATATTGAGAATCTTGCTCTTTCTTCTCTTCTCTATTACAGAAGTGGTATATTCAATTTAAAAATTCATCAGACTGTTACTTCTTTATGAAAATGAAGTTTTATTTCTCTTCATTTCTATCATAAAAGCAGTAACCTATATACACCACTCTATTTTGAAAATAGTCATTCTTTAAAATAGACACTGTTCAGTCTTTATTTTGAAGAATTAGACACCAGCAGAGAAAACTGAAAGGCGTATTACATTTCCCAATCTTTTTGTATATTTTTTGGAGACATGTCTCACTCAGTAGGCCAGGCTAGCATTAAACTCCAGATCTTCTTGCCTTTGATTCCTGCATGACGTGACTATAGGTATGAAAAACTATGCTCAGGTTCCCTTTTTGTTTGGTGATACTGAAGTTTGAACTCAGGTCCTTGCAGTTGTTACGCAGGTGCTCTGCCACTTGTGCCATGACTTCAGTCCTTTTTGTTCTAAATATTTTTCAAGTATTGTCTTGCATCCTGAGTTGGCAGCCAGGATCACTATATGCCTATGCCTTCTGTATAGCTGGGATGACAGGTGTGTACCTGGTTTTTTTTTCATTTATTGAAATGAGATCTTGCTGTTTTTACTTAAACTTGGCTTCAAACTGCAATCTTGTAGATTACCTTCCATGTAGCTGGGAATATAGGTATGAGTCACAGGGCCTGGGGTTGGCCTTCCTGTTTTTGATATTTGCCACCTTTACCTCTTTCCATTTTTTCACTTACTAGTCCATTTTACTTATTTGCCTATTATCGTAAGCAGTTGTACAACAAAGCAATTGATAATGAATACAATGCATGACCATACTTTCAACATTCTCACCCAATCGTTGTTACTATTTTTGTCCAAATTTATTACAGTGAGGAACTATAGTCTTCATGAAGTTAAAACATAAGTTTATCATTACATTAGCGCATTCATTCTTTTATCAAATATTTATTAAGATTCTACCATGTACCAAACACCATTCCTGTGCTAAAAATATAAGTAGACAAACACTTATGGGACTTACAATTCTGATGGGGGATTTAGACAATGAACAATTACAGTTTATGAGAAGGCGGATTCTCGAGATCGTTTTAAAAGGAAAGGTCTGAAACGTAAATGCATGGGGAAAGTTTCCCAGAAGAAATGGCCTGCAGGTGAGACAATGAGCAATAGGGGCTCACAAAGATAAGAGTATTCCAGGCAGAGAAAACACAAACCACAAGGCTGGAGGTCAAGAATGGAAACTGCAAAAGCAAAACCAGTATGAAAGAGCATGCATTTGTAGAGAAGGAGAAATCAGAGTGTTATATGTACCTAACTCAACATGATGGATAGCCTTAAAAATCATGGTATAAATATGCAACAGCTAGAGCTCTCAGAATTTCACTATCAATGGTGACTTTAACCTAGATTTTGTTTGCTTGTTTGTTTTGTGGGTTTTTGTTTTTTTGTTTTTGTTTCTGTCAGTTGTGGGGCTTGAACTCTGGGCCTGGGTGCCAGCTCTGAGCTCTTTAGGTCAAGGCTAGCACTCTACCACTTGAGCCACAGTGCCAATTCTGGTTTTCTGGTGGATAATTGGAGATAAGAGTCTCATAGACTTTCTTGACCAGACTGGCTTTGAACCACAATCCTCAGATCTCAGCCTCCTGAGTATCTAGGATTACAGGCATGAGCCACTGGCACCTGGCTCAACCTAGCTTTTATAAGCACTGAAAATGATTATGCTTCCAAAACACTAGCTTTTTCTTTCTTAGTATTTCTGAAATCTTTAAATAATGTACTTTATCAAGATCAAAACACAACAGCATGATTATTGACAATGATATCAGAATACCTGTATGGTATAAATAAAAGAAAATTTTTATAAGCTTTGTCCACAAAGGATAGGCTTTATATATGCATGTATATTTTAGAGGTAAAAATCTTAAAAATAAGCCGGGTGCCGGTGGCTCACGCCTGTAATCCTAGCTACTCAGGAGGCTTGAGATCTGAGGATCACGGTTCAAAGCTAGCCTGGGCAGGAAAGTCCGTGAAACTCTTATCTCCAATAAACCACCAGAAAACCGGAAGTGGCGCTGTGGCTCAAGTGGTAGAGCACTCGCCTTGAGCTGAAGGGCGCAGGGACAGTGCCCAAGCCCAGAGTTCAAGCCCCATGACGGACAAAAAAAAAAAAGAAAGAAAAAAAATCTTAAAAATAGCAACTTTGTTTCTAAAAGGAAATTGTAAATTCTGAGAAAGCATCCTTAATATTAATCATCTAATAAATTTCATAGAATAAAGACTTGCTATAAAATTTTTATATCACCTTGTATAAGTCAGTAATATCACTGTGTATCAACTTTGTGTGTGTGTGTGTGTGTGTGTGTGTGTGTGTGTGTGTGTGTGCAAGTGCATGCACATGCACCAGTCCTGGGGTTTGAACTCAGAGCCTGGGCCCTACCCCGAGATCTGGTGGGTCTTTGCCTAAGGCCAGTGTTCTACTCCTCAAACCATAGCTTCACTTCTAGTTTTTTTGGTGGTTAATTGGAAATAAGAGTTTCATAGACTTATCTTCCCAGGCCGGCTTTGAACTACAATCCTCAGATCTCAGCTTCCTGAATAGTTAGAATTAACAGCCTGAGCTACCAGCACCCAAATCACATCAACTTCCTTTACACTAAACGAAAGCTCCTTCTTGTTCTGATCTAATCAAATATTTGCCTTAAAATATCTTAGTATACATAAATAAAATAAAAATCTCTTCTAACTTCAACTATGTGAGAATCTCAGACATTGTTATTCCTCTACTTAGAACAATGAAACATTGGCCAAACTAAAAATGAGTGACTTTTCCTTAAAGACAGAAGAGATTGATGCCATGGGCCAAACCAATAAGCAAAACTCTAGGGGCATAGGAGAACCCAGAAGAGAAGCTATTGGAGTCATAACCTGGTGGAAAAAATTAGATGCCAGTGTTCCCAAATGACTGGAGGCTGAGCGTGGACTAGTGTGAAATGGGCCTGCAGTTTGGAAAGCTTCAATTCGTTGGTGAGTTTTACCACCAGGAGCTCACCAAATTTTTATGCCAGAGTTGTAGGTCTTGTAGGTGAGGAGAACGTTGACCATGAAATATGTAAGGTGATCTCCATAGCCAAAGTGCTCAG